GAATCTGATGGGAGGTCCAATCAACTCGCCTGGGCCACCGAGGCAACCGACGACGAGCATACCACCTCCTCTCGTCTGCTCCAGTCCCTTTTGGCCCGTAAACTCATCCCATTCGTGGCCTGCCTTACTCATTGGCACGAACGCTTGACTTGTGGCGACGTGCCTTTCGAGCATCCTCACGTCGAACGTAGTACCTTCATGACTCAAACCTTTTGGTGGTCCGACTCGGATGACGTTGATTGCAGTATGTGGCTTGCCCTGAAAGTTGGCGTCGTCTGACGAGGAAGCGTACAGTGAAGTGATCGGACTGATGCGATTAAACTTGTAACCCTGCGCATCGTAATCGTAAGCAAGCAGGCGCGCCCAGCAGATGGCAATAAGCTTGCCACTTGCGGATTTGCAGTGATCGTGTTTGTAACGACGTGCGCTGGCATGGACAGAGGGTCGTCCGAGCCTTGGATCACATCGCCGTAAGGTGCCCAGCTCTTGTGTGTCAAAGGCTCGGCGACAATGTGCAGCGGCAACGACAACGGCAAGCTCTTGGCAATCATCGTTCGACAATTCGTTGCGAGAACGAAGAGACGCTCGTGCTGCCCACCCCCGCCTTTGTGCCAAAAGTTCGAGTTCGAGGCCTGCGCGGGGGCAGCGGCCCGCTTGCCGCGAAATGAATGCAAAGAGGCGGGCCGCCCCATGATGATGCTATCTGCTTTCTTTACAATGATGTATTTCAATCATGGACATGTGGGCCGGTGGCGAACAGGGCAGACGGCGGACACAGGTGATTTTTTGATAGGAGGCGGACCATGTTCACCTCGCGAAAGGGTATATCATTACTGCCCGACGTGTCAATCTGAAGTTGAGGAGCTTGAGTGGGTATCCGCCGGTACGATAGTCAGATGGCGTGCTGGCGGATTCAAGTGCCGAGTTCCATCAGTCGCCGACTTTGTGCCGTCACCTTTCCTGAACCGCGCACAAAAGCTGTGACGACGGCGTCCTCAATTCGAGCCATCACTGCGAGACTCGGACTGCTTCGACAGCACCTGAGTACTATGGCCGCGGGCTCGAGCGTGACGCGCAGCGGCAGCGCGTACGAGCGCGAGCAGCAAGTTGCGATTTCGGCTGTCCTCAAAGCTTCCTTGCTAGCCAAGAAAGTCCAAGATCAACTCGTCGGCAGCGGCGGGGTGCAGAAAAAAGACAAGAGTCCAGTAACGGGTGAGTGCCTGCGCCACGAAGACAATCTTGACAGGCTGTGGCATGCAATGGCTGATCATTGGTTGGACGGTCTTGCTAGTGGCCGACTATACATGCCAAGCTCTCGTGTCTTCGCTCTTGTTCGCCCATTTCCCGCAAGACGAGATCGTTGGCGAGGAGGATTCGTCAGAGCTGCAATCGCCAGAGAATGCACAAACCAAAACACAAATCATGAGACTGGCTAACGAAGCGATGAATGAAGCGCTCGACGGCCAAGCAGAAGAAACAGAATGGCACGCAGTCAAGCAGGTCAAGCGGTCTGAAAAAGAATGGCTCGAGATTATTGACCGAGGCAACAGCACAGGCGGCAAGACAAGCCGTGAGTGTATTGTGAACACTTATCGCTGACGTGCGCTCAGCTTGTCGTCGTCGTCTTTGGCAGGACACTGGGCTCTGGATCCGATCGATGGTACGAAAGGGTTCCTCCGAGGCGGACAGTATGCAGTTTGTCTTGGCTTGCTCAAAGACGGTCAAGTCGTCGTGGGCGTCATGGGTTGCCCTAATCTGCCGCTCGATCCTAAGAAGCCAGACGGCGAAAAGGGTGTCATTTTCGTGGCAGTCAAGGGGGAAGGCGCTTTCCAGGCAAGTCCTGTCTCTTCGTATCTGTCCAAAATTATCTCTCTGACATCTCCTGTACACATTGAAGCGCTCTCTAACGTCGCCCGAGCTCGAGAAGATCTCTATGTCGAAATTGTCATCACTTGCCGACGCTTCGTTCTGCGAATCTGTCGAAGCAGGCCACTCGGACCATGGCACGAATGCTAGGATTGCGTCTCTTCTTGGAATCACAAAGGACAGCGTCAGGATGGATTCTCAGGCGAAATACTGCTCGATCGCGCGCGGGGACGGCGACATTTACCTGCGATTGCCCGTATCGGCCACATACGAGGAGAAAATTTGGGTGAGCTTTCCTCTAGGCTTGCGATTAACAGCCATGACAACTAAGGACATGCTGCAGGACCATTCATCTGGATCACTACTCGTGGCAGAAGCAGGGGGTATCGTATCGGACATGTACGGGAAGCCGCTAGATTTCTCGCTTGGTCGGACGCTCAAGGGGAACAAAGGCGTTGTTGCCGCGCATCGGGACGTTCATGCACAGGTGATTTCCGCGGTGGAGCAGGCGGTGAAAGAGAGCTCGAATGCAGCTTTGTGAACGAAAAAGTGTTAATTCACCACAAGTAGTGTTGTTCTTTCAATGATTGCTTACCTGAGTCACTTGTTGCGATGGAAAGGAGGCGGTGCCGAGGCGGTGCACGTGCCGGAGCTTTAAGCTCAGCTTCTTCGCTTCGTACTCCTTTTTCTTCCCTCGGTCCAATCGTTCGTTGCAAAACACACACACAGCAACACTCGAACGCTTGCCTACTTGCCAGCATGGGACTTGCATCGAAACTCGCAGCGGCCCAAGCGAACGCAGCCTCGGGCATGAGCCCCTACGGCGCTCCACCTCCAGCTCAACATGGCGGAGTCCAATCTAGCAGTCCGTATGGCCAGTCGCAACAGTCTCCGTATGGCGCAGGTCCGCCGGGCGGAGGAGTCGGTTCTGCGCCAGGAGCTCAGCGTGAGTACATGTCCGACTGACCGTTCGCTCGCGACGCTCCGCGAGTACTCGTTGATTGCTGCACGCCGACGCTCCCCGCGAGCCGACACTCGAGATTCATCGCCCCTCCATGGCATCAGGCGCCTTTCGGCAGCGAGTGGCGCACCACGTATCCTTCGTACTGACGCGGCTGCCTTCTGCAGCTTATGCAAGTTCATACGGCGCTCAAGGACCCTATGGCTCGTCTGCACCAGGTTTGTTGCCGCTAGTCCTGGTGCTTTTGAAAAGTAATTCGAGCTGAACCGTGACCCTTTATCCAACGTCAAGCGTATGGCCAGAACCCAAGCAGTTTCTACGGAGGGACAGGGGCACAGCAACAATACAGTCAGAACCAAGGCCAGACTTCGAACTACGGCCAGCCGCTTCAACATCAGCAGCCGCAGCCGCAGCAATATGGAGCCCAATACGGCCAGCCCCAACAACAATATGGCCAGCCTGGTCATCAGTACGGACAGCCTGGTCAGCAGCACGGACAGCCTGGTCAACAGTATGGTCAACCCAGCATTGGAGCTGGACAGCCACAGCAATACGGCGGCGCCGCACCAAACAGTCAGCCCGGACAGCAACAGTACGGGACGCTGGCTCCTGGAGCTGCTGCTGGATACGGCCCTCCCCAACAACATTACGGCGCCGCCCCCTCAGGAGGACCGTCTGCAGAGGTCATTGCCACCGTCTTGCAAACCGCCGTTGTCGACCAGGTGAGAAGAAACGCTCTCAAACCGCTTTGTGAGTCTTTCTGACATGTTCGGGCATCAGAAACTGCAAGCATTCTACCCGCCGGGCTCGTTGCAGCAGATTGCCGAGAATGTGGCACGCTCAGGAGCGCTTCAGCGCATAGCTTCGGGTGCGTGTGCCCTCTCATCTAAGGCATAGATATTGCTCACACAATTGGGCGATTAGACTGGAGCATCCCGATGGAGATCGCCATCGACCTCGCCCGTCTGGCGCTGTTTGATGTCGTAAGTCGCTCGTCCATCAGCGGATGTCCCATCGCAAGGCTGACAAAAGTGATGGTCGTAGATACTGTATTTGGATGACTCAGGCTCGATGGCATTCGAGGAGAATGGATCTCGCATTGAAGACCTCAAGCTGATTGTCAACAAGGTCGCCACAGCATCAGCGATGTTCGATTCAGACGGCATCCAAGTTCGCTTCATGAACTCTACGATCGAAGGTAACAACATCAACTCGGAAGCTTCCGTTGCCAACATGTTCCAGTCTGTCAAGTTTAGCGGTTTGACTCCGCTTGGAACGGCATTGAACCAGAAGATTTTGGAACCGCTCGTTCTCGGTCCCGCTCGCCAAAATCGTCTGCAGAAGCCCGTTCTGATTGTTGTGGTCACCGATGGTGCTCCAGTGAGAGAACCCTTGTCGCAAGCGTTCAGCAGAAGCTGAACCATTCGGCATCCAGGGTGGCGAAGACCGCAACACGCTCGCGCGCGTCATTGTCAACGCGAGCCGGGAGCTAGCTCGTACCAGGTACGGTCCTGATGCACTGAGTATCCAACTGAGTCAAGTTGGCAATGACCTGGCGGTAAGTTGCCCGACTAATGCCCTTAGATCACCAACCTGAGTAAGACTGCGTCCAGGCAACGGCATTCCTCAACGAAATAGACAGACACCCCGAGGTAGGCAGTCTCGTCGACTGTCTCTCGCCATTCGAGATTGAGAGCGTCGAATTTGAAAAAGCCAACAAGGGCGTCGGCTCATTTTCTCCAATCTTGTGGATCGTCAAGCTGCTGCTCGGACCAATCTCGAGCGAATATGATTCAAAGGACGAATAGCAATGGCGAAGACTTTTCGTACGATGCGTTTGAGAGTACTGCAGCACGATCAAATGAGCAAATGCAATAATATGTGCGAGTAAACCAAGATGGCCAAGACCGTCGGGTACTGAATCAGCGCAAAAAACTCCGGGTGAACGCAAATGTAGACCCTCACGCTGTTTTTTTTTTTTTTTTCAAACAAACTGTCCATTGCAATTGATCACTTGGTCATCTACAGGATAGACGCGACTCAGGGTCATTGACTGCCTTGTGCAAGGGATTGCTTCGAAAGCTCGGAACGCCTCACGAAATGATTCTCGGAAAGACGCGGTTTTTCCAGACATTCCAATATGTATCGGTCTTTTTGACTTCCTCTATCATCTGGTCCCCTAGCTCAGTTGGAAGAGCGTCTGACTGTTATTACTTAACGGTATCAGGAGGTCGACAGTTCGAACCTGCCGGGGACCGTTTCTTTTTGGCATTTCGCTTGTTGGCCACAACAAGCCATCTTTCCTCGCTCTGGAATGTTCTCTAGTATCATGTTTGTAGTGTGGCCGGACAGCGCAGACGTAGCACAAACACGAAAATCAGCAGAGACACTTGTTGATTCATCTTCCGGATGCTGGCTAGTTTTCTGTTCGATGGATTCTGCTCACATGCGCGTTTGGTGTTGTTTTTTTTGCCTTGCTTGTATGTCGGCGCGCACGGGCTGCTGACTTGCTGACAGAGGCGAGTTTCGGAGTGCGCAGCACTTTCGCTTACGGAATCGGGTCGAACCGTGCGGGCCGGTACTCTTGGTCTTGTCATCGGCTGCCTTCCTTGTCTCCTTGACTTGGTCCTCTTTCACGTCTGCACCCGCTCGTGAGTTCTGCAGGCGAGCTTATGTCCCTGAAAACAATTGGTTGACGACGATTATTGAGCCCTTTCGGCAGATTGCTTGACCCCTGACTTTACGTATCCGTGATTATGCCGAGCTATACTGTCGTAGTAACTGGGGCCAACCGAGGCGTTGGTTTGGCCTATACCGAAGCGCTGCTGAAGCGCGGCCATGCTGTGGTGGCAACTGCGCGCAACCCCGAGTCGGCCACTGAACTTCAGCACCTCAAGACGCAATACTCAGGCAAACTAGACGTGATTACTTTGGACATCTCCAGCAAGCAGAGCGCTGAGGTCAGTGCGGCGCATCACGCAAGGCTACCGCCGCTTACCGGATCACGTGACTTTGACAGGACGCCGCCGCTGCGGTCAGCGAGCTCCCGATTGGCAAAGATGGCATTGATTTCTTGATCAACAATGCGGGCGTATTGTATGGGCCCAGCCTCAATGGCCTCTTTGGCTATCCAGAGTAAGTGGCGCCTGAATGACTTGAGACCTGCCACAATGCCAAGCGAGCAGGAAATAGAGCCTGGAACCTGATGCCCATTCCTTCTGCAGCGCCGTCACTGATCTCAAGAAGCAGATGGATGTCAACGTCTATGGCACGATTCAAGTCACGGCTGCCTTTCTTCCCTTGCTGCGCAAGAAAGCCAACGGTAAAAAAGTCATTGTGAACGTCAGCACGTTGAGCGCTGCGCTCGGTATTGATCTTGCCAAGACGAGCATTACGTCGACATATTCTATCAGCAAGACGGCGCTCAACATGGTCAGCACTAAGATGCATGGCGAGCTCGCCGCCGAGGGTTTCACAGTCGTGCCGCTCAGTCCCGGCCTTGTGAAGACCGACATGAGCTCGGCAGTCGTGGACGGCTTCGGCGAGAACAATCCATTCGCAGGCTTTGAAGCTCTGACCCCGGAGAATGCAGCTGAGCAAGCGTAAGTAAAGTCCGGCTCGTTTGCGCTGCCAGAGGCCTCGAACTAAATTTTCGATGGTATTAGGATTAAGTTTATCCTCGAGCTCACGCCAGACCATAGTGCCAGATTCTTTTCTTACAATGGAAACGAGGAACAGTGGTAGTCTTGTAGTACGCTTTCCGAAAACGTTTCTGAAATATAGCAAAGGTGTCACAGAAAATTCTTCCGCGCTTGCTGTCTTGTTCTTTTTCATCCTCGTTGTCGTCGAGCGCCTTACCAAAATGGCCTTGTTGATCCCGACGTCAACAAGAACCACCGCAAAACAATTTGCCGAGCTCTTCATCGCGCACGTGTTCTCCAAGCACGGTGCACCAGCCGATACCGTCTCCGCTGGCGATAATAGATTCACGTCCTTGTTCTGACAAGCCCTATCGCAAGCCATGAATGTCAGGCAAAGTCTCTCGACGGCTTACCACCCGCCGACCGACGGTCAAACGGAACGCGTCAATCAAATCATCGAGACTTACCTCCGGATGTATGTCAATTACCAGCAAAACGATTGGTCGAGTTATCTTTTTCTAGCCGAATTCGCGTACAATAGTGCGCCGCATTCTGCCACCGGCAAGTCGCCCTACGTCTTGAACAAAAGGTTTCATCCTTCTCTCGGAACACATCTTAAAAGTCTCCAACCGCCAATTCGTGGTGCCTGTCAGTCGGATCCAGGACCTGCACGGATACGCAAAGTCCGAAATCGGAAAAGCTCTTGCCAAGTACAAGGTCGATGCCGATCGACACCGTGTCGACGCTCCAGTTTAGCAAGTCGGAGATCTAGTCATGCTTGACAGCTCCAATGTTTTGACAAACCGACCAACGAGGAAACTTTCCGAAAACTGTCTTGGCCCGTTCAGCGTATCCGAGGTCGTTTCGAAACTGGCAATCAAACTTCAGTTGCCGGCGTCGTGGAAACTTCATCCTGTATTCCACGTGTCCTCAGTCAAACCCGTTCATCCCAATAAGTTCAAAGGTCCAACGCAACCGCCGCCAAAGCCAATCGAAGTCAACGACGATCTTGAATACAAAGTCGAAGCAATTCTAGACTCTCGCGTATGTTATGGCCAACTCGAGTATCTTTTACAATGGGCCAGATACGAAGGCGGGGCGGAGCAGCAAACGTGGGGAACTGCAGATGCCGTTCAATGCTTCCGAACTCGTCAACAAATTCCATTCAGATTACCCGAACAAACCCAACCCTCAATCATTGCCGAAGACTTTGAACGCTCGCAACAATCAAAAGAGGAAGCGATATTTGTTCCATTTCAGTCTTGACAACATCATACAATCAGGGTATCTTCTGGCATCGGAACATGCCGTCACATCATTGAGGGGCCGGATTCTCCTGCCCTTGCAGATGACTCTTCTTCACCTTCTCGTTCTTCTGCTCCTTCACCACCTGGCTGCGAGTATCCGACGACTTCATACAAAGAGTCAATATCCAACAAATCCACTCGTAACACCGACATTCTGCGCTTACCGCCTCTTCGCGCATCTTGATGCCTTTCGGAAAGACTGCATCCAAACACCATTCAGGACAACTGCAGCCGGAAGAGTCAACACATACCGCATTTCATGTCCTCTTCGTGACAGATCCGACACTTGTATCGCTCTCCGTTCAACTCCAAACGGCCCCAGCAGTCGAGCCCGGATATGGCGCACGTGTTACAGCCGTCTGTAGGAAAGGCACGGAAATAACCTCGGCGTTTCCCTATGACAGCCTTTACGAGTCCCGTGTCTGACCACGAAGAAACGACGGAAGACCATCAAGCGCTCGTCCTTTCAACGCGTTCTTGTTCCTGTTGGCCGGCATCGGCGCCAATGGGCTTCAATTCGCGTCCCAATATCGTGCGCAATAGTTGTCGTATTGCCGTCGAAAATTGTCGCCTCCACTGGCGGGCCTAATGGAGCGAACGAGTTAGTCCAAGTCAACACCGCGTCGCGTCGCCGCAACTCGGTGCCAAGGCGTGGCGTGGCATATTTACGCACCCGGTGCCCAAAACGGGTCCTCAAAAGCAGAATCGTCCGTCATCTCGAAGAAACAGAAGTCAACAACCTTAGGAGGGAGCGTGTCACGGTTAAACAATCGAGATCGCTTAGACGGGCCTTACCGCCCTCTGTCAACGCTTAGTCAATCTCAAGCTCCAACTTGGCCCGTTCCGGAAACACGCGACCATTTCAGAACCGACAAACTCCTGCCGAAGCATCTTCATCTGCCAAGCCTTTCTTAGCACCCTGCTCTCAACTCGTCAGCGCGTGGCTGTCGACGTCTCGGCGTGTCTCCCCTGCTTCAACAGCAATCTCTTCAAGTCTGGCGCTCGCATAGCCAACGCAAGCCTGATAGTGTCGACAGTTGGTGCATTGTTACCGGGCCTTCATGGTATCAGTCATCATACTTTCCAAGACCTATAAGAGTAGCTGTCCAAGCCCTCTCGCTCACTTCGTCTTCTTCTTCTTCAGATCTGAAATTACGAGTCTCGTCTACACCATCTTCATCTACTTTGATGGATCTTCAAGTTGCGAGAACCTACTAGGTCAGGGACGCCATTTCCTTCTAAGGCCGGAACAAGTCAGGAATCACGTGACGACGTCCTCGCACGTGACCAAAACCAAGGTATTGCAAGGCTGCACTGGGCATGTTTTCACACACACACACACACACAAGTCACCTGGGGCAAGGCGCTTTCGCCTAGCAACCGGCATCTCTCCCCTCTAGGCCTGCATTCCCTCGAAATTCCAACCAATACGCACGTTCCTGCTTGCGGACCGTGCTGAGAGGGGAGCCTGGTCCTATCAGACCGTTAATGGCGCAAAGGTCGTGAGGGTCGCTCACAGCTAGCAGGCGAGACGGTGCAGCAGAGAACTTCATTCGTTTACCGAACAAATCGGCAATCCAAATTTGATCATTTGGTCATTGACAAAGCAGTGGACAGCGCCTCCATCTCTGAGCGCAGAAGCGAGAGCGGCAGAATGGTCGCCAGGGATAAAGATCGGCGCTCGGGAAATCGGTTTTTTTTTTTTTTTTTTTTTTTTTTTTTTTTTTTTTTGTATCTACGTGCCCTGGAATTGCAAGACTATCGCGATGTCAAACTAACCCAAGAGCGGAGGCGGAAA